TATTCCTATTTTTTCGCTGATAATACTACTTTAGATATTTCATGCAATTGGTCCCATTTTTGATAAAGTCGGAAGAATGATTGAGGAAGAATAATCTGAAGTCAATATATTTCGTGGTTACTCATCAGCCGCTTACAACCATTCATTGATTGGAAGTTAACACTGAGAAATGGTGTGATGTGAATGTGGATGAGCACAGCTGAGGATTCCCACAATATTACGAAACGGCCGTCCAGTGCCCGCAGGTTTTCAATGCTGGTCAAGCATCAATCAATTCATGATCTCAATGGAAAAACCCAATAATGTCCACAATCATACACTGATAAACACCAATAAAATAAGAATACATAAAACAGGTTTGAGATTTTAATCGCCGTTTCTTCTACAAACCGAAGACAGGCTGCGTCTTTTTGTCAGTTATTAATGCTGAAGATTTGTAGGATGTCAATTGTATACTCGATGTCAAGTGGATGCCGAGCTATTACATATATATATATATATATATATATATATATATATATATATTATTGAAAACATTTATCATTCTTATTCTTTACCGGATCAATCTCAATCGTCTCACATCATATCATTACTCAACATTACCTTTCAATACGTGAATGGTTGTAAGCAGCTGATGAGAAACCACAAAATATATCGAATTCATATTATTCTATATCAATTGCTGTTCCGACCTAACCAAATATCACTTCAATTCAATTTCATTTATTTTATTTTCTCTCATCCTAGATATGTAATGACCGACTACTCAGTCTAACTTATATTGATAAGGATAAATATGAAAAACCGATAGGAGGTATTTTTGTTGGATCCTCTCCAGAATTCGATATAGCTGTATACACTGTTGCTTTTGCATTATATCCTAAATCACTAACTGATGTAGATATCGCCGGATGCAAGATACGTATAACCTGTTATGAATTATCTCCCTCTGAAATGAGTACATGTTATATGGGATGAATGAACAATGTGAAGGAAAAGAAAAACTCATCATTTTTTATCATTAAACATTAAGTGAATAACAGAATATTGTACAAGCCTCCTATTTGCATAAAACATTGTAAAACAATTGTGAGATCTTTTCTTTCGAGTTTGTTTATCATAGAGATATCTCTGTATATTTAATAGGACTTTTGATCTAACTACGATTATTCGAAACGAATTGTAGTTTCGAATAAACTAACAAGTTTTCCAGCTACAGAAGTGTGTAAAGATTCTTGACAAAATTTGCAATATGAAGATTAGTCGATTCTTTGTAAATTCACACTGTTCACATCAAAACAAAAACTGTTATCAAGCCCCGATAATTGTACTGTGTAATTAATGAGTTTCCAGATAAGCCATTCAGCTTCACTAACCTATATAGCTGGAAAGGAAACCATTTTCTTCGATCACTGATTGTAGTTTATGGTGTATAGAGGTAAAAGCATTTATGACAAAGAAAGTATCATATGGGTTCATTTTTAGCAACCGAATAATTCAAAGTGTTTTACGTTTTTAGAACTAGTCATTTCAATGTATGTCAAGATATGTTATAAATCATCGACATCGCTCTTTCAATATGCACTTATAAGCATTCAGGGTGTTTGGATGATGAAAATGCTTTATTCATCTAACTAATTATATTACATAGACAGTCAGACAGACTTTATCTATTAGCCGTGACTTGGAATATGATGTGCAGTAGGAATCGAATAAGTATGTATCCTTTAAAGTGTGAGGAATAACAAGAAAGAATTCTTCTCTCAGGTTATTCTTTTCCATTGTTTAAAGTTGATGCAATTATAAGGTATGAGAAACGCGAGACAAAGTTGAAAATTAGTAATCTTTAAAACAGTTATTTATCATACTGTATTTGAAAAACATTAACATTTCTTGGTTAGAAGTTGGATTTTAATTAGCATAAGAAAACGGAATGTCTTTCGGTTCGCTAACAAATATGAATGCGAATTCCTAATACCAAAAACCATGTATGTTAACATTTATTTGGTCTGATCAGATCACTCACATTGCAACAGGTGGAGGCTTTTACATACCTGAACAGCAGTATGTTTAACAAACAAGCGGGATCTGATGCAGATTTAATAGCACGGATTAGTAAGTCAAGGACAGGATTCTGACGATTGAAGAACATATGGAACTCAGAACAACTGTCAGCCAACATTAGTAAGAATGCTGAGTAAACCGTTAAAACAGTTCCATTATACAGAGCTGAAGGTTGGGGAACTACTACAACCATCAAAGTAGTATAGGTATTTGTGAATAGTTGTCCATGCAAAATACCTCAGATCGGTTAAAAGACATCATCAGCAACTGACTGATATGTCAGAGCACTAAACAGCTTCCAGTCGAATAGCAAATTAGTAAAAGACTCTGGAGGTGGACAAAGCACATATTGCACCCGGAGTCGAAAGCAGACATCTAAAGAATGGACAGCATTTAGAAGGACTTGAAAATAGTTGATTGGAGAATCGTGGTCAGCACACTTTGCTTCATGAGGGATGACTGGATTAGGTTAGTAAGATCGTTCTCTTGCACTACTACAACATGACGAGATTGATCCTGATTAGTGACTTTTCATATGATCAGAAACATGCGGAAAATGGTTATTGTCTATATAAAATACCTCATATGTTGAATTAACAAACCACAGTTGCAATCACTGGTTTCACGTAAATAATTCTGTAGATAATAAAATATTAGATTTCTGATGCTCTATTGATAGCCAACGGTGTCACACACACAAATATTGATTTTATTTATGTGGCTTCTAGAACTTCGTCCTAAATGGTTGAAATTCGGTGAGAGTGGACCCATAATAAGATCACTAGTCCACTACCCTGTGAATAAAGTCTATGCGATGAAAATAAACTCACAGTTCGATGTATTCAATAAACCACTGATTCTCCCTCCCCTTTCCATTGCTGCAGCTTTCGCCGCACATCTAAACATTCCAAGTTTGTATTTATGAAAGAAAACTTATTCAAACACACATTTCACCGTGCTTTTTACTTATAGCTTTTCAACGTCATTACTCCTTATTCTCCATTGACCTTTTAAACCTAGTAGACTTACTTTAAATGCTCCATCTTTCCTGATTACATCCCAATTCTGTTTCGACGCTTCGTATTATCAGTTCACACAACCATCTTTTTACAATTATTCATTGTCGTCCATCTTATCTGTCACTCATGATGAACATTCAAGCTTGTAACAAAATTTATTCTCGAAATAGACAGGATATTTTGTGCTTATATTTGGATCACCTCTGTTTTACTCTTTTTTACGGTAAATCATTATTATTATTATTGACAAATATATTGTTAGTTAATACTTTGAAAAAAAGCACATACTTATGATTGTGCACCTTTGAGAATTATTCTGACGAGAAGATTACTCTTCTTTGTACTAATCATTTTGTTTGATTTTACAAACGGGTATTTCGGTTTAATGTCAGATCTCTTTGAAGGTAATATGTTGTTCCATTTTATGATTAAAATTCGTATGTAATCGTTTAGCTTGCATTGTGTTCAAACTATCTTTCAACAAGTGATTCAGTTCAACTTTGTTTAACTCAGAATTAAAATTATTTAACAGAATAATTGATTCTGTTAAAGGCGAACTACTGACATTATAGTAGGCGGAAATTCATCATCTTTCAAAAGTTTCATAATTATAAGCTGTTTACATGGAAATGAATGGATTCATCTTGCCAGATCAACGTGATGACACTTACCATTAACCCAGTAGTACTAGAACCATATTAACTAATAGGTATAATTAGTTTTAATATACCATTGTAGTGTCGGTTATTATGTTAAGCTCATATACCTTATTCTAGCCCATTCTGTTCATCCTACTTGAGTCACATTCTGACCTTAATTATTCGCTCATCAATCTTGACCGTTTTTATATGAGCGCGAAGGTGTGTGTACACTTCTTATCCCATTACTCATCACATGTCTGTAACTTATTCTTATGTGATTATAAATATTGAGCCATTCGACGAACATCGTACAATCTAATGACAACAAAATATAGGGCCCCACACCATACGCCTGATCACACGTCTGAAATACGAGCGAAACTGAAGTTCCTAAAACAACGATTTGTCTAAAAGGCGGTTCTTCATTGATGAATAGAAAGAAATTAGTCACAAACCTCAACTTGTGATGTATCGATGGCGCTTAGCGCGTCTGTAAATCTGTGAGAAAATTGGCTTTCCGCGATGATAACATAAAGAATAATTATGACATACGATAGTGCAAGTGACAGCTGGTAGCTGTGTCTAATCTTGACAGCCGTTTACTAACGAGCAAAACGTTAACCAGAATAAAACAAATATGGAAACCATTGCACTTAAATAAAGATTCAATGACCACGAAATTGATGATAACTGATATAAGGGATTGAGAGAAAGTAATTATAATGATAAATGCAGTAAATGTTATAAATATATGTAAATATTTAATAGTATTACACGATACACAACAACGGCACACGCGTAGAAATTGTTAGCAAAGCAACTAGTATGAAACAGTCGTCCAATGCTTCCAGATTTTCCTTGATGGTCAAGCTTTAATTAACTCATTATTTGACTATTAAATAATATTAAGTAGTATAACGCGAAACACAAAAAACGAGGATATGGACATTGAACTTAAACGGATTTAACATGTAGTATTTCCGAAATTTCATCCGTTTTTGTGTATAATTTTTAATGATCAGAACTAGATATTAATGTCCTTGTATCGAAACCTAAAACATGCCAATACAACAATTTGACCAAGTAATTATTATTCTATAATCATATTCATTTTTATAAATATAGTTGATACTGAAGTATAGGATTTACTTAACATAGATATTGAACATAGTTTTACATTGACTTTCCCATTGACATACATATACACAATTAAATAATGATGGTATGTTATTATCCAATAGAGTCTTTATTTTCATAATAAGTTAAATATTACCGGAAGTATCTTATTAAGTAATACATATAAATATGGAAGAAAATAATTAAACCGTTCGGAACTAATGAAAATTTGTGGCATCAGTAATACTGAAATGTTCAGTATTTTTGTATATTTCAATATTGTGCAGTTTGTGTCATGTTAGTAAGTGATATGTATTAGTTCTTTTCTTTGTTTTTAAATGGGTACCATACAAATTGTTTGTTTTATTACTTTTAAAAATCAAATTCATTTGAATTGTATGTAAATTGACAAGGGTAAAACATTTAACAAAGAGTTCACTGTATAATGTTGAACTTTCTTAATTCGATTAGTTCATTGAAAACCATGATTATCTCAATAGATTGGATTGAAACTTCATTGTTGGTTTTGATTTATCATCATGATGATTTATAAATTTGAATGTTATCTAGTTTTCAAATTGTATAAGACTAAATAATCCTTCTTATCGACAAAGATGGATAGTGGCTAACAGTGGAAACCAAGAGGCGCATTTCGTCCCATTTGAGACTCATCAGGTGGATGTAATTGCATCCAAGAGTTGAAGTTCACATCTAGCTGACGAGTCAAAAATAGGATGAAACACACCTCCTGGATTCCACTGTTAGCCACTATTCATCTTTGCTTATAAAGCTTGTGACTTAAGGTAATATCGAACTAATCCCCGCAGGATGCACATATGCCAATAAGAGATTGATCAGTTTTAGTCCTAAACAACAATGGCAACATACAAACAAACAACACCAAGTGAATTCAATCCTTCTTATCTGTTATTATTATTATGTTACTTACTTACGCCTGTTACTCCCAATGGAGGATAGGCCACCGACCAACATTCTCCAACACACTCTGTCATGGACCTTCTTTTCTAGATCCATCCAATTCTCGTTCATTTTCTCATGTCTGTCTCCATTTCCCGGCATAATGTGTACTTTGGTCTTTCTCTTTTCCTTTGGCCTTGAGTATTCCATGTGAAGGCTTGTCTTGTGACGCAGTTGGGTGCCTTCCTCAATGTGTGTCCTATCCACTTCCAGCGCTTCTTCCTGATTTCTTCCTCCACTGGTATCTGATTTGTTCTCTCCCATAGTAGGTTGTTGCTGACAATGTCTGGCCAACGGATACGAAGTATTTTTCGTAGACAACTGTTAATAAACACCTGTATTTTCTGGATGATGGCTTTCGTATTTCTCCAGGTTTCCACTCCATGCAGTAGAACTGTCTTGACATTTGTATTGAAAATCCTGATCTTGGTGTTGGTTGACAGTTGCTTTGAGTTCCAGATGTTCCTCAATTGTAAATATGCTGCTCTCGCTTTACCGATCCGCGCCTTCACATCTGCATCAGATCCACTGTGTTCATCAATGATGCTGCCAAAATATGTAAAGGTTTTTACATCCTCCAAATCTTCTCCGTCAATTGTGACTGGATTGGTGCATGCTGTGTTGTATCGGAGAATCTTGCTTTTCCCTTTGTGTATATTGAGACCTACTGCTGTTGAGGCTGCTGCTACACTGGTCGTCTTCTCCTGCATTTGTTGTTGCGATTGGGATAGAAGGGCCAGATCATCTGCGAAGTCTATATTATTATGTTAAATAGAAAATAATATATGCGCCTTATTCAGTTGAATTATATAAATTTACATGGATGTTTCTGAGAAAAACAAACAAACAAAGGTTACACTAAATATATATTCAGTATTACTATACTCAATTATGAACGTTTTCTTAGAGCTTAACACATCGAAATTTCGGTATATATCCGCTTTTATTTTTGTACGAATCAATTTTATTTAATAGCACTTAAGTATAAGATACACCAATTCATTATGGAATTTTAAGGAGAGATGTATTTTATCGTTGTTTTGTTACAAGTTTGCTTTATTGCCTCTTTGTCCCATTCTCTAGGTAGGGATGGATAACAATAAATAAAAAGATATAAAGTAACTATAAGAAATTGATAATGTAGATATTACAACAACGATTGGTACATGGTTAATACCGACTAAATGTAAAACAGAGTTTTGTATTTACTTTTTTTCCCACACTATCCATACCAAGGAAGTAGATTGTTAGGATAGCCGGAAAAATATACCAATAATTATCGTGTTAAGTCTATATTGGCCTTGGACCTTAAATGTACATTTCCTATTGGTCGATGTTTATTTCACTTGTTAAATATTGTGTAAATGTTGTTTTCTATTTTATGGTACGATGTGGTTTGTTTGTTTGGTATATAAATAGAGTATGTCTGAAATACGATGATTCATAACTCAGAGGCTGTGACTTGTGTTCTTGACTCAACTGGCTAGGACAGACAGCGAAGCAGGGCCAATCAGGGCACTAGGTCGTCCACCACGTGTTTACGTGTCCACTGTCACCGAACCGATCGATAAATAAACGCTGCGCATCTATCCTGCAGTCACACCCGTTACAACATAGATATTTACTCATTTGTTGATAAAGTTATTCAGTAGCGCGCTCAGTATACTTCATCTTTACTGAAGAAGTTTGATCTGTGAACAGGCATTAGTACACAAACCTGATTATGTTTATTATTACTCTGATCCCTTAAGATCCCATTTTGCATGAATTTCCGAAGTAATTCAATTTATTTTAAATATTCCATCATGGTTTGTTAAATGTGTAATCAATAATGATGTCAATGAATGTGGATACTACACTATTATGTCATGACTGAATATAAACAAATCGTAACTTATCATAATTGATTCATTGTTCTGACATAGAATTGCTTTTTTCCATTTTCTGTTACTTGTTGATGGTATTTCATTATGCGCAGTAATACATAGATAACTCACATTGTGAATAATAAACTTTATACTTCCAATAAATGCTATCATAACCTGATCAAATTTACGATATACAAATAATCTATATTATGATTTTCTAAAGCTGACAGAACTGTCGAAATGTCTGTAAATCATTTGTTACCTATTATGTTATGTTCATATTTCCATTTACATACTGATGTCACTATTTTCAAACGAACATTTCACCTGTACTTACGTTTTAGAGAAATATTGGTATTTCCAAGAAATGAATTCCTTGCTACACGATAATATTGTAGTAAATAATGAATATTATAGATGAGAGAGTTATTAAATGGTTACCAGTATAGTGTTTAATCACTATACTAAGGTCTATCAATGAAGGAATTCTATTAGATGACTAAATTTCACCATATAAAGAGCATTGAACAAATGTGTTTAATCTTTATCGATAGAAATACCTAACGTTTATGACTGAATTCTTATGAAGTATAAGTGTAACTGTCTTATAAAGTAACAACCTTTTCTAGTTTGTAAATTATCCCGTGTTCTAATAACACTTTTTTTTATTTTCTTGTAGTAAAATAAATATTGACAGATGTGAGACACTGAATGACACCAATTGGGTTTCTGAAGGACTATAAACTATTTCAAACTTATAAATAATATAAGATAAATACAATTTTAAATTAAATTATAATTTCAAAAGAGGTTTTGTGGATATTATAGTAATTTTAATAGTAAGAATCATAAGTCAATTGAAGCTGGACCATCATGGAAAACGTGGAAACACTGGACGACCGTTTCATCCTACTAAAGAGTCTCACAATAGGACGAGACGACTGTCTAGTCCTTCCAGCTTTTCCATAGTGGTCTAACTTCAATTGACTCATGATTTTAACTATTAAATTGTAATTCACAAAATTCTAGAAAAGTTTCTTAATTATTATTATTCTCATTTATTTTCAACTTATTTACTTTTTATCTATTTCATGAACGTTTCATTTATTCAACTTTAGTTATTCTGTCAAAGAGGATAAAGAATTGAGTAAATTTTTCACTGATTTGTACAACGCGGATGTAAATTCAGTTGAAAATGGTAAAGATTATCGATTGAATTTACAAGGTAAGTTTGTTTAAATATCATAATGCTTACCTTTAATCACTTTGCTAATAAGAAGTAGTACAGGACAAAATACTAATTCATATCTGCAAACTTTCATTCAATGTTCTGTTGATGAGTAAATGGTCCTTTATTTAGGTGGAGTTTTGTTCTCTGAGCTGGATGGTTTGGTCGTGGAGCTTTCATCGTTCTTCTGAACGACATCATCAGCACAAACTTCAGATAGAAGTTAATATTTATATATTTATATGATCACTTTTATGTTTTGAAAAATCATTCAAATAAGATTATGGAAATTATTTGGGTGAAATTACTTTCTACGGCATTAGTTTTATTTATTACATGCTTCAGATATCTTCCAGTATATTGCATATAATCTGATTTGTAATTGAATAACAGATAACATATATGGGATGGTTTTCACTCTCAGAGTGTTGAGAACCATAAATCAGTTATATTTTTAAGTGTATCAGTTGAAAAACAAAAAACGGCTCGAGTATTGAGAATTAGAAATCATAAGATAGCTATTTTACTTATAATTTACATATAAATGGTTGATCAAAAAACATTCAGATCTATGGAGACAAGATATTATTTCCTTATTGGTTGGAATGTAATGAACGATGGCTTATAACATATGACAGTCTGATGTATCATGGCTCTCATACGATGTATTCGGTAGGTAATTGCCACATTCTGACTTATTTATTTTCTCACAAAGTCAACCAATATGAAATGGATAGCTGGTATTATATTTAATAATCCGATGTAAATGGAAGAAATAAGTACCAATCATAGTTGATGTATTACACTTATAATCACCTATAGTAAATGATATACTTTCTAGTAGAACAATATAATACATGCTACTGATAATATTAATCAATTTATAATAATAAGTTGAAAACCTCTGAATTTCGCCAAGCGGGATCGTGGATGCATGCTGCTGAGGAGTCCCATACTAGGATGAAACAGCCGTCCAGTGCTTCCAGGTTTTCCATTGTGGTCTAGCATCAATTGAATCATGAATTCAACTATTAATATTATTAAATTTGTAAATTTTTTAGACAAAACTATGAATGGTAAATAATCTCTAGTTTGTTTGAGTGAATAATTCAGATTTATACATCTAGTAATATTTGTAAAAAGTAAGAAATTTTAAGTTATTTCCACTTTTTTTTCTCTTTTTATAGGAAAACTAGCTAGAGGAATGGATTCTGTAGATTTGGCATCTAAACCATTGTTTGAATTTGTTGATGAAGAGATATTGGGGAAGAGACCTACTTTTGCAAGTATGTAACAAAGAATGATATTTGAAAGGTGTAGATTTTTTTCATTGACAACTCAATGATTGACAAGTCTTGCGGATTGAAAGCTATATTCGTTTCGTAAGACATTCTGTAACCCCCAAGCTAGAACTAGACAGCGACCTGAACACGGGAGAGAAGATGCAGATCATGCGAGAAGTACTTTACTCTAATGTTCATTTCAATACAGAAAATACACGGTTTCTATAATATTTTAAATGTCCTTGGGTTGCTCGAAGATTCTGGAATGCTACTAAACATAGTATCAGTGTAGCAATCAGCCAATCAGAACCTCAGCATGTGACGTTTCACGTCCTTGATATTTTTGGCTAAAACTTCAAGTGAACGCCGATTGGATGAAACGCTTCTTAGTGTTTCCTGATGCTTGCTTGTCTTTTGCAAGCAATTTTCTGGATCACTCCAACAATGATAATTTACACAAATATTCTTTATGTCAGATTTACATAAAAAGTACTGAATCGCGAACATAACCATATATTTCATTATATAAGGTAACGTTTATTTAAATCATGAGGTAATCGAGTCAGAAGCAAGACCTGATGATTGGATGATTATCATTTCTAAGTGTTAAGTATGAAAAGTGGATAGTCTGGGAGAATTGACCTAGACGGAGATCATGGGTTTTTGTTAGTGAAAATGAAATTCAACTGAGACTTTATGCAGTTAATTTGTAATCATAATATTAGTTTGACAGCTTAGACAAAAAGCTATGCGCTGAAAATTTCCTCTTTAAAATGAAGAACAGGCCATTAAATTACTCATAGATCCATTTACCGTTGACTGATATTCGTGAGATAACACTTCTGTTACCAAGTTTATGAATATTCAGTGAGGACTAATAAACTTATTTCGGTCTGAGGTAAATGTATCATGCATATTAGGTTATGAAATTAACTGACTGAGGGGAAGTACTTGTTTGAATTCATCAGTTTAAGACTGATAACTTTGTCTAGAAAATTAACAGAATGAGCTGTAGACATTATGATTAAACCAGTAACGTGAATAATACAACTTTCTGATCAAATAATTCCAAATACATAATCAGCTTCATTTCCTACACATAAACTTGTATGATCAATATTTAGCTGACTACTATATGAGCTTCGAAAAACATACCATAACGTTTACAAGAACTATGGACATTTCCAAGAACTATGAATAATGAAATTTTACAACAAAAACAGAATATTAAAAGTTTTAATTGAAAGGACAAATTAACTTCTGTTCATGACTAATTTTCAATAGTTGTATACCATCACTAACAATAACAGACAAAAGTCAGTCGATATGAAGAACACCTAAACAAACATTTATTTTGTATGATTTAAATTTACTGAACTTTTGTTGGAATGTTTGAATAATAACTGATAATCTGCTGAAATTAAGGTATCCAAGACTGAAAAAACTAGAAACGTTTACGATCATAATCTTTAGATCTTGAGATTTTTGTAATTCTCTATTATTTCTCAATCAGTCATACGAGTATTTAAACAGGTTAGTGATGTAAAATGACTAAAAAATTAAACTTGAAATTATGTATATACTATAGAATTCATTGCATTATTGGATAACTACAATCCTCAAGTTGGTGTCACTGAAGTCGTCACAGACCAACAACAGAAGGAGGAAGATGACTTTATCGATGAATTGCTAAAAACAAAAGTCATGAAAATGGCTTATAATTTCCTTATCAAAAAACAAAAGTTGTCAGGAGATATTACAAACTTTGGAAAATTCTTAAAGGATTTATGGTTCAAGCGATATAAACGTAGAAGGTGAGTTTAGTATGATTTGACTAGGATTGTTATATTGACCAATAGAATACCGATAGATTGATCATATGATGTGATATTTTGTAGCTTAGTAAAAAGTGGTTTCAAAAATGAGCCTTCGGAGTTGTTATACTAAGTATAATCCTCTCATTTCCCAAAAAATAAAAGAGAAAATATTATGTTAGTAGAATTTTATGTTTAAGATGAGTAAAGTATTTGTATTCAATCTGTTCCCGAAATGCAACTATGAGTAGTTACTAAATTGAATATTTCACTGAAAGCTTTTAATGAAATTGTTAATTATCAGATACATTGTTATCAGTAACTATTTCATGCTTCAAAACCATTGGTGATTGATTTATCATTTTTATGCTGTTTTTTTTCGATAAAATCTCCATAAAACCCCTTCTGATGATATTAGTTTTATAGATTTTCCATATTCTACAGAGTTGTTCATTTCATGATCTAATACTCTTTAGCTAGTTTTTATGTATTTAAGCACCAGACTAGTAGGAGAAATTAACTTAACGCACCATTTAAAGCTCATCATAATAATGTATTCTCTTTGTTTTGATAAGGTATTCTATAATCTAAAACAACAGTCTGTCCAAACGTTTTTAGCCAGAAAGCTCCTAAAAAATTGGATAACTTAGTTCGAAGTCAGTTAGCGGTGTATATACATGTAGATTCATTGAGAAATAGTTATGAATTTTTCTATTTCACTTGAAGCCGAAACATAGCCTGTACAATATAATCTAAACATTTTAATTTTGAATTAAACTGTGGTGTGTTCTACTGTTATCGACACATATAAGTAATATTTATCATCAGTCAGATGTGAAATGCTTGGTGGCAGAAGGTTAAGAAAAGCGAAGAGAAAAGCGCGAGAACATAGAATAAATGCTGTGGAAACAAAGAAACAATCAAGTCTGAGACAACTGATTGATATTTTGCAAACAAAGTATTTACTATGTGGTTCTCAGATTCGATTAAGACATTTTGTAATTGTGTATAAAATAGATTTGGTTGTCCCCGCCTGTGTTCTCATTCACTACTAAATTGATCTTGTGTTAAAATTAAGAAGAGGATACTGCACGATCCTTCACATAACTATTTAAGGTAGATTAATAATCATAAACATATTAATAAAATATAAGTACAACATATCAACTGTTAGATCCTTTATAATATATCAAAAGTAAACCAATGTGAGGTAAAATTCTTCAGTATGTTCAAAGTACTTAACTGTGAATGCAGTTATTCTCCATTAACTCAAGTAATATCAACCTACGATAACAAGTTGAGATGAATAATTAATTATGGTGATTTATAGTTTCCCTTTTACATTCTATACAAAATATATAAAACATAAATCAATCAAATAATGAAGTCCAAAAGACTCTTCTGCATTTGAACATGTATTTGTTGGTGAACATAAAAATCTTGATGTGCTTGGATTACATAACTGGATTCAGTTTTATTTAAAAGAAAAGAAAAATCAATTAAACTTTTTTGGATGGACTAGAAGAGTAAGAAATTTCTTTTTTGTTTTTATGTTTGATAATAAAGTTAGTAATTATTACTATGCTAATGATGATTTAATAAAGAATTGATATTATCCGAATGGTAAAGTATTATGTAACTATGAAGGATTATATAACTGGTATTTACTGTTAGATCAATAAGGCTTCTCTAATATATGTATGTATACATAATAGTCATCTACTTACGCATATCTCAACATTTATGTCATTCAGTCAGTCAGCAACAACGTAGAACTTCGTATGTACGTACGTACATCAGTTCGAGTTACCACACCACATTAGCACAAAGATACAGTTGTCCATTCAAATCCCATAGTGGTAGAGGTAGTAAAAGTATAAGCAGTAATCGGAAAGATTAGAGTTTGAAGATGTTATTCAAGGAGTATAATCCAGTGAAATAAATTTGGAAAGAGAAAAAGTAAAGGGACATAAATAATACAGAAGATTAAAATTTGGGAGAACACAAAGAGTGGATGCACCTGCGCCATTGCAAACGATTTTGAGTCATGTCATTCAAGGTCTCTAACCATCGGTTGCTATCATCTCGCGGATCCCAACCAGGTAGTCTACACTTATCAACATGGCTCAGTCTACTTGTCAGTAACTTCATGAACTTGTGCCATGTTTTGGTCTGGCCGCTTCCAGCTTTCTTCCAACCTACTCCTATACCACTGAACATCGCACTTCGAGGCAGTCGGTGGTTGGGCATACGTAACACGTGTCCCAGCCATCTGAACTGGTGGAGTTTCACTACGTCATCAATTGATTTGCCATCCTTACCTAGTACCCGTTTCCTAACAACTGCGCTACCTACTCGATGGTCTTAGGACATACGAGCAATATTTCGAAGACACCTATGATCAAATACTAGTAACCTACGGATATCCTCTACTCTTACCGGCCATTCAGTTTTTATGTAGGATGTATTAATTGATAATCTTATATATAAATGGTACTTAAAGCACCATACAATATTGAAGATTATCTATTATGAAGCATCAGAAAAGAATAAAATGAATTTTATAAGGTTTCACTGACATTCAATGTTGTTTATGGTTGACTAGTGGAGGATAATATTATGAATCGTACAAAATACCTCTTTAATAGAAACTTTAAGAAAGCAGTTATCAATTCATAATAAACGTGGAATAATTATTATTTACTAAGCCGGTATTAACAAGGTCATAAAATGTCTTAGACAGTTAATTGCTGTGTTATTTAAGCTATAAAACAGTGAAAATTGAAGTTATTTGGTAAGTTAGAACAGTAATAATGACTTTTAAAAAGCGTTTGCATGTGTTTCAATATTTATCCACTACATTATGTCACCTGTACAATGCTTTACACATGTTTCCAGTTGCTATTTATTCTTTTCATTCACGCTTCTAATTCTCGACGCAGTGTGTTTTGTAGTCCTCCTCTTTTCTATTTTTCCCTTCACCATTCCAAATTTGTGCTTGCTTCGTAATGCAGTTTGTTGATTTCCGTAATGTATGTCTTATCCACTTCCAACGTCTTTTCCTAAGTTCCTCTTCAGTTGGAACCTGGCTTGTTCTCTCCTACAGTAGGCTGTTGGCGATGGTATCCGACCACCAAACATTTGTTTGGAAATACTTTTACCTTTGTGATAATGATTATTATAGTTCTCGAAGACTCAGCTCCATACGGTTAAACTGTGTTGACATTCGTATTGAAGATTGTGACTTTGATATTGGTTGACAGTTACTTTAAGTTCCATATGTTGTTCAACTGTAGAAATCTTGTTCTTGTTTTGCAAATCCTCGCCTTTACATCTGCATCGGCTCCTCTTTGTTCATCGATGATGCTATCCAAAAACGTGAAAGTTTCCATCTCTTCCATAGTGATTGGGTTAGTATACAAAACTCACAAACTCAAGTTATATTTGACTACTGGAAAAAATATTGCTCTAAATACAAAACATTCATGTAATTTAGATGTTTTTAATTGCGTAATTTTTAACGATATAGCTAATGTTTTGTATTAAATTTTTACTACAGTTTTGTAAAGATCAACTTATCACTGTAACATATGTCAATGAAAATAAATATAAAAAGCCAATTGGAAGTGTTTTTGTTGGATCATCTCCAGAATTCGATATTGCTGTTTATACGGTTGCTTTTGCACTACATCCTACATCTGTATTTGACGTAAATATCTCTGGATGTAAAGTACGTATAACATGTCATGAATTATCTCCCTCTGAAATGGGTACATGTTATATGGGGTAAACACTATATGTATCTGAATAAACATTTGTTTCCACTGACCTTAAAAACAATAGCAAACTTAAGTTTAATATGTCGTTTGATAGATTAATATTCCGAAAATATATAATTTTGTTGAAATTCCCTAACTTTTTATTGTATTACAAAATAAGTAAAGATCGAAAAACGTTCAGTGAGAGTAACACTTTTAAGATGGTTCAAAATATATCGAGGTAAGGGAGAGAATTTCGAATGAATTGTATTATTTTTATGCTCACGTAAATAAACTATCTAACTAAGTGTACAAAACTCTAACGAAAGATTAACATTTGTTTCGATTTTTCGTGGTTTCGTATGCGTTACCTTATCAGAACTGAATAGTATAAAAGTGAACAAAACATTCAGACACATTTACATTAAGATTAATCAAAACATACTAAAGTGACAAAATATCATTGACTGGCTATCTAATGATCAAACATCGAGTGATTTGAAGCAGTGAAATAACGATAGTGTAAATAACACGTGTCGTATTTAACATGAAACAGTATTTACAAGTCTAGCTAGTCCATTTCCTAGAGTTTGGTAATATGCAAAGTGTTATAACTTGTGATCCTGTGTGCCCTGTATTTTGGATAACGCAACGATACCGCGAATCAGAGAGCAGCGAATTATCGATCGAACGAGTGACGCATAAAACACGTGCGAGCAACCAAGAGTCCTGATTTGCCTCGCTCCCTGTCTAGCCCAACCAGTTAAGTCCAGAACACCAATCTCAGTCTCTGCAATATGAATCATTTATTTCAAACATACTCGCTTTATATATCAACCAGACATACCACAAGGTACCATAAAGTATGGAACACCATTTGTACAATATTTAGCCAAAAGTGGCTGTGAATGAGGGAGATAGTAATTAACAGATAGGTCATAACTCAAGAATGGTAAATCGAATAATTATAGTTCATAGGTCAAAATAAAACTCATAATAAGAGGGACATGAATATGAATAGTTTAGTTACATAACAATTACACGATGAAAATATACTCATAGCATTGGTTCATAAATGGATCCCAAAAGTTACCATTCATTATTCTTATCGGGATATAACACAAAGAAGATTGCAATACCATTGTTCTTTTTTTTATTTAATGATATGGACAATCCAAATATAACCCCGCCTGCAGCCCCTCCGGGGGCTACTACCGGTCCCAAGCCCGGATAAAGGAGGAGGGTTGGGCATGAGGTTAGCGTCCCCATCCCGTAGAAAACTAAATCGTTCAAAAAACGCTAACCAGAAAAAATTATTCAAACCTCTTAAACTCTGCCCTGGGAGTCAGAAGGTCTTCATTTAGAAGAACTATGACCCCTCATGATGAAAGCCGAATTCCTTTGAAAGTCACGAGGCCGATGCCTCTTCTGACAACCAGAGCAACCATTTATTTAGGTACATGGAATGTTCGTACAATGTGGGACACCGGGAGAGCCTTCCAGGAAGGATGTGAGGACAAAGAGAGGAGCTGATATAGCATCAGATTATCACTTGCTGGTCGCCAAGATGAAATTGAAACTCAAGAAGCACTGGACAATACGGCGGACAACACAAACATTTAATACGACCTTTCTTCGGGATACTGACAAACTCAATAAATTCAAGATAGTCCTCAGCAATAAGTTCCAGGCCTTTCACGATCTACTTAGTGGAGAGGGAAGTACTATGGAGAGCAACTAGAAGGGGATCGAAGAGGTAATCACTTCAACATGTTATGAGGTTCTGGGTCACAAGAAGCACCATCACAAGGAATGAATCACTGTTGATACACTGGATAAGATTTACGAAAAGGAGGAACAAGAAGGCAGTAATCAATACCAGTAGAACAAGAGAAGAGAAAGCCAAGGCATAAGCTGAATACACAGAAGTGAACAAGCAAGTGAAGAGGAGCATCAGAACCGACAAACGTAAATATGTGGAAGATTTAGCAACGACGGCGGAAAAGGCTGCAAGAGAAGGAAACATGAGACAATTGTATGACACGACAAAGAAACTCTCTGAAAATCGCCGTAAACCAGAACGACCAGTGAAAAGCAAGGAAGGCAAGGTAATCACCAGCATTGAAGAACAACAAAACAGGTGGGTAGAACACTTCAAAGAACTGTTGAATCGACCAGCTTCACTGAACCCACCCAACATCGAAGCAGCGCCCACGGACCTCCCAATCAATGTTGGCCCACCAACAATTGAAGAAATCAGCATGGCCATCAGACAAATCAAGAGTGGCAAAGCAGCAGGACCGGACAACATCCCAGCAGAGGCACTAAAAGCAGACCTAGCGGCAACTGCAAGGATACTCCACATTCTCTTCAATAAGATTTGGGATGAGGAACAAGTACCAACAGACTGGAAAGAAGGACTTCTGATCAAAATACCAAAGAAAGGCGATCTCAGCAACTGTGATAACTATACGGGCATCACTCTTCTCTCAATACCGGAAAAAGTCTTCAACAGGGTATTGTTAAACAGGATGAAGGACTGCGTAGACGCCCAACTTCGTGACCAACAGGCAGGATTCCGTAAGGATAGATCGTGTACAGACCAAATCGCAACTCTACGGATCATTGTGGAACAATCAATTGAATGGAATTCATCACTCTACATCAACTTCATTGACTACGAAAAGGCATTTGATAGCGTGGATAGAACAACACTATGGAAACTTCTTCGATACTACGGCGTGCCTCAGAAGATAGTCAATATCATACAGAACTCATATGATGGATGAAAACTGCAAAATAGTGGATGGAGTACAATTGACAGATTCGTTCAAGGTAAAGACCGGTGTTAGGCAAGGTTGCTTGCTTTCACCCTTTCTCTTTCTCCTGGTGATCGACTGGATCATGAAGACGTCAACATCCTAAGGGATGCACAGGATACAATGGACATCTAGGATGTAGCTGGACGATCTAGACTTCGCAGATGATTTGGCTCTTCTATCCCAAACGCAACAACAAATGCAGGAGAAGACGACCAGTGTGGCAGCAGCCTCAACAGCAGTAAGTCCCAACATGCACGAAGAGTAAAGCAAAATTCTCCGATACAACACAGCATGCACCAATCCAGTAACAATTGACGGAGAAGATTTGGAAGATGTAAAAACCATTACATATATGGGCAGCATCATTGATGAACACAGTGGATCTGATGCAGATGTGAGGGCGCGGATCGGCAAAGCAAGAGCAGCATATTTACAACTGAAGAACATCTGGAATTCAAAGCAACTGTCAACCAACACCAAGGTCAGGATTCTCAATACAAATGTCAAGACAGTTCTACTGCATGGAGTGGAAACCTGGAGAACTATCGAAGCCATCATCCAGAAGATACGAGTGTTTATTAACAATTGTCCACGCAAAATACTTCGGATCCGTTGGCTGGAGACTATTAGCAACAACCAACTGTAGGAAAGAACAAATCAGATCCCAGTGGAGGAAGAAATCAGGAAGAAGTGCTTGAAGTGGATAGGACACACATTTAGGAAGGCACCCAACTGCGTCACAAGACAAGCCCTTACGTGGAATCTTCAAGGCCAAAGCAGGAGAAGAGGAATACCGAAGAACACATTACTCCGAGAAATGGAGATAGATATGAGAATAATGAACAAGGATTTGATGTAACTGGAAAGGAAGGCCCATGACAGAGTGTGTTGTAGAATGCTGGTCGGCGATCCATGCTTCATTTGGAGTAACAGGCGTAAGTAAGTAAGTAAGTAAGTAAGTAAGTAAGTAAGTAAGTAAGTAAGTAAGTAAGTAAGTAAGTAAGTAAGTAAGTAAGTAAGTAAGTAAGTAAGTAAGTAAGTAAGTAAGTAAGTAAGTAAGTAAGTAAGTAAGTAAGTAAGTAAGTAAGTAAGTAAGTAAGTAAGTAAGTAAGTAAGTAAGTAAGTAAGTAAGTAAGTAAGTAAGTAAGTAAGTAAGTAAGTAAGTAAGTAAGTAAGTAAGTAAGTAAGTAAGTAAGTAAGTAAGTAAGTAAGTAAGTAAGTAAGTAAGTAAGTAAGTAAGTAAGTAAGTAAGTAAGTAAGTAAGTAAGTAAGTAAGTAAGTAAGTAAGTAAGTAAGTAAGTAAGTAAGTAAGTAAGTAAGTAAGTAAGTAAGTAAGTAAGTAAGTAAGTAAGTAAGTAAGTAAGTAAGTAAGTAAGTAAGTAAGTAAGTAAGTAAGTAAGTAAGTAAGTAAGTAAGTAAGTAAGTAAGTAAGTAAGTAAGTAAGTAAGTAAGTAAGTAAGTAAGTAAGTAAGTAAGTAAGTAAGTAAGTAAGTAAGTAAGTAAGTAAGTAAGTAAGTAAGTAAGTAAGTAAGTAAGTAAGTAAGTAAGTAAGTAAGTAAGTAAGTAAGTAAGTAAGTAAGTAAGTAAGTAAGTAAGTAAGTAAGTAAGTAAGTAAGTAAGTAAGTAAGTAAGTAAGTAAGTAAGTAAGTAAGTAAGTAAGTAAGTAAGTAAGTAAGTAAGTAAGTAAGTAAGTAAGTAAGTAAGTAAGTAAGTAAGTAAGTAAGTAAGTAAGTAAGTAAGTAAGTAAGTAAGTAAGTAAGTAAGTAAGTAAGTAAGTAAGTAAGTAAGTAAGTAAGTAAGTAAGTAAGTAAGTAAGTAAGTAAGTAAGTAAGTAAGTAAGTAAGTAAGTAAGTAAGTAAGTAAGTAAGTAAGTAAGTAAGTAAGTAAGTAAGTAAGTAAGTAAGTAAGTAAGTAAGTAAGTAAGTAAGTAAGTAAGTAAGTAAGTAAGTAAGTAAGTAAGTAAGTAAGTAAGTAAGTAAGTAAGTAAGTAAGTAAGTAAGTAAGTAAGTAAGTAAGTAAGTAAGTAAGTAAGTAAGTAAGTAAGTAAGTAAGTAAGTAAGTAAGTAATAATCCAAATTCTCAAAAGCTTTGATTTTATTATCAAATTCACGATTGATCCACAATGAAAGACAAGTTTCATTTTCTAGATTTATATGAGTTTCGAAGAGATGACGTAACTTGTCAAAAGTACATACTTCAGAAACAGACCTGTCATACTTTTACCTTATGAGTTATGAATATGGGTTGGTTGGATCATTCTACTGACAAGTCAGGAATTTATACTCACCAGAAAAGTTAGGGGAAGAGTGTACAATGAAAGATAT